TACAGCTGGAGCTGGGGCTGCCTGTGGGGACCAGGACCGCGGTACTAAAAATAGCACTGCAGGTGGCCTCTGCTGCAGTCCCGGCAACTGCCGAGCCCGTGTGCACCCTGCCCTGCAGCGCCCCAGCCAAAATTTGTGCGGTTCCTGCCAGGGCTCCAAGGCAGCCTGGAGGACAAGAAGGAGGTGCTGCCGGACCAGGTCCCGCGTGGCAGAGGTGGTCCCACGGGGGGAGGGACGAGTGGTGCAGAGGGGGACAAGGTTGCTGTGCCATGCAAGGAGCAATGGCACAATGCCATTTCTTTCTCTTCCCATAAGCCGGTATCCCCATCAAGTAGTGAAATGTCCAGCAGGGCTTTCTAGGACATTTCACTACTTGATGGGGCACCGGGATAAAGTATTTAAATTCTGGACTGTCCCAGCAAAATCAGAATGTACGGTTAGCGTACTTATATGGGAGGTCATACTAGATGGGCACAGCAGCTTCTGCCCTTTGATTCTATGAGCGCAATACAAGTTTCAAAACAAGATGTCTAACTAGCGATGTGAGATTTTAAATGAAGAAATAGAAATTCCTAGTCTGGAATAATAGGGAGATTCGGACACTGAAGAAAATAAAAGAGAAGAAATGCAGAAACTTAATAGCCTAAGGAAGAATCTTATGAGGCCACCTATTTCAACAAAGCAGCAGACAAAATAGACTTGGATATTATGATTTGCAAATGAAGAATAAGACTTCATATTTGTGAAGCCAAGTGGAAATCAAATGTTGTCATGCAGCTCATCTAAAGATGACATGAGGTCAGATCATAAGTTAGTGCAGGCATTAAAGAGATTGAGAGCAGCTAAAAAAGTGCCAAGAAGATCTATGACCCTAGCAACCTGAAAGAGACAGACTTCAAGAAAAAATACAAAGAAGCCATGCAGAAAAATGTTTCTCTTGAAAAAAAATGTTGAAGAGGCATGGAACTGTGTAAAAAACGGGCTTATGAGAGTGGATGAATAAGGATAAGGCTACATAACCAAAACTAACTGAGGTAGATACTGTAATGGATCAAGTATTACAGCTGAATAACAAGCATAGGAAACTGAAGGAAAATAAAAAGAAACTTGCAAATTTAGGAGCTGAGTACAGTCGATTGACCAGAG